GAACGCCAGTTTGCGACACCCAGCCATATCACTCAGTGTCTCTAACCATCGGTTATGACCATCCCGAGGTCCCCATCCAGGGAGCCTAACAGAACCCATGTGACCCAGTCTCCTGGTTAGGGTTTTCATACCCTCTTGCCAGGTCTTGGCAGAGTATCTGAGCATTAGATTATCGCTGTGAGTAGTATGGGTGGAATGAAGAAAAGGATTTAAAGAAACGACAAGGAACGTAGTTCGCTAAACGGTGTAAATCAGGCTGGCATACCGGGATACACAAAAACGTTATAGTGAGGGTTAGGAATTTCGGTTTACCGAAAGGCATTTTGTTAACTAGTTTATTACAGAATTTTTATCAAATGTAATGCCGACCCTAGGAATGTAAAAGCTTTGTTTATTTTCTGCAGCACATTAATTAACGTAACATGATTTATCGGTAGTTGAGTGCAAAACAAACTGAACAAGAGTAAAAGAGAAGCTTTTAATTGAAATAATTACGCACGCGATAAATTTCAGGACGAAAGAACAGTTCGAAAATCGAATAAGTGCAGCGCGACAATTTAGCAAAAATAAATAGGCAAAATGACAAGTGATCACATAACAAGGATAACACTAAAAGTAAGCGACAATGAATGGACCGAAAGCTAAACGGGAGAACTTGATTGGTGAAAGGATAGATAACTTACAGAGTTTATACTTGATTGAAGAGGTTGCACAGTAAGCGTTGAACGCATCAATGATCCGATGCTTCGAGATGGGAAAAACTGGGCTTGATTTGCTATTCGCACAGAAAGGTTCGCTTCCCGGTACTTTTCAGCTTCGTCTGACATTGATGAATTAGGAATATTTGGTTTATTGATCGGCGCTTGAGTGGCCAGATCAAGGCTCATAAATGGTGAGCGATCGCGAGCAAGTTGTTTGGGTCGAGGTAATGGAAGACCATGCACGGAGGACTCTAACTCAACAGTGGGGACCGTCCGCATTGCCAACACGTGCTTTTTATTTGGAGCACAATCATCACGTGTAACGTTTGATCTAACAGATAATCCTGTATGTGGCAGGAGCCGTAAAGAATCAGTTGAACGCAATGTCAGAACTTTGACACTGTCGTGCTTAGACAGTTGGGTCACTCCGCCATTTAGAGGCAATGTTCCATTGACTGAGAAATCCGAAAGCGATCTTTCGTCTTGAGGAAACGCTTTATTTCTGGCACTGGACTCATCGCTAGTGTGACCTAAAGCGCAACTGGAGATACCACTATCGGTGTTATTGCATTCACTGGATTCCGTTATTCGATCAATACTTAGACTAAATGCACGTCTGGCAGCTGAATTATTAGAGTTGTTCACAGCATAGACACACTGGGGAGTTTTGGCGGATAGTTTTACATCAGCACTGAAGAAGTGCTTTCCGTCTTCTTTGAAACCATCATCGTAGGGTATCGACGAGGACACAGAGCACAAGCCAACCGCCTCAGAACATCTAGATGTGTAGTTAAGTCCAAGTGGTTTTCTGTGAACGGTAGAAATCTTACAATCCACGTCATCCGGTGCAACGGTGGAAGAGACCGAAGAATTAAGGCTGCTCAAGACAGCATCGACCTCACGCACGCTTATGGCGGGCAGCTCTATGTTAGGGTCGATAAGACTGTTAGATAAAGAAATCGGAGTGCACTTTGCTGGAGGAAGCGAGTTCCCTGGTTCCAGAAAGTACTCGATTTTTTGCGGAGAGTGCACATGAGGCGGTGCTCCGGCGACGGTCGAAAATAATATATCACCCGGAGAACCATATTTTTGAGAGCATCTCCTCCAGGATTGGGAACTCGATGACATTCTATTTCAATCCTGTACCCCAGGAAAAAAATCAAGGAGATATTAAGACTACATTAT